TTCTTTGCACTCTCTTTATTTGCAAAATGATTATCTTTAGCATCTGTCTTGCCAGCGCGGCTCTAACGCGGCTGTACCTGTTATTTCTGATGCTGCTGCCTTAAGCCATGAAAACAGCCCAGCGTTGCCATGGAAACGATCTCCAGCCGGCAATATATAACACACGGTTGGTTCTCAGGACGCACTGTACACACAGCTTCACTGGTAGAGACTCAGTGACTTATTTCTTAAAAGGGGACTGGCTCAGAAAGATCAAACAGCCTCGGAGAGGCAGTGAGACCCGCAGAAAGCGGCGGCACCGCAGCAGAAGCATCATCAAGCTGCAGTGGAAGCGAGGCCCATGCGTGGGTGAGAGGCGCTGCTGATGCCACTGCAGCTGGTCCTTTCCCCGCATTCGCTTTTTATAGCCAAACTGCTCATTTGTGTCTCTTTGACGTCACACAGAGGATAAAGAGCGAGAGAGAGGCAGACATTGAGCCCGGCCAGATCGGCTCAGCCTCTTTCTCTGTGATTCACATGTAATCAGTGAGAACGTCTGTCTGTCTCTGTTATTTTCTGTCAATCTGTCACACCGGCCTCAACGACCTGAGGGGGCTGGATCTGCTCCACATCGCACGAGCACGCTCAAATTGGATTAACTAATGACATGCAGTGGGTTATATGTATGGATTATATGATACAAGTACAGACGTCATGTAGCTTGATCTCAGCTAATCACACAATTATTTTTATCAGTACAGTGTGAATTTGTCCGCCTCGTTGAGCCTAAGCAGCCTTAAGACTTAAGAGCACATGCAGAAAAACACGTGTACACGTCTGTTAGGTCAGAGGGAAAAAAAAATGTTTTCTTAATTGGAATTCCAGTGTTTTTCCGATTGCTTGTATCAAGTGACTAATGGGAAACACGTTCGGGAATTGGTCCAGTATAGAGAGAGAGAGAGTGCTGCAGCAATGTCAATAAATGTCCAATAGAAGGTATTTTTAGATATGTGCAATATCTTTGCACATATTTTACCATCGTCATCTTGGACTATGGGTTCTGCATTGTTGTCAGCCCGTGAATGTAAGTTACAACATGTCGAATGCAATGGGTTGACGTAGAGCAGGCGTCCAGACCATTACGGTCCCTCGGCGGCAGGCCGCGCCGGACGCCCAGGCAGGCCGGATGTGGCCAGTTTGAGACCCCTGACGTAGAGACTCCGTATACGTCTCTGCTAGCGGCAGCATTCTGTCACTCTAGTAGCCCTGCAGTAAAGCATCGCCTGCATTGTGGTCTATCTGACTCTAAATGTACTGGTTTTAACTAAATGATGCATCATGCTGTGTTGAGGAAGACTTCAAACTCAAAACTGGGACCATGCATTCATGTTTAAAATGTTTACCGAGGGAATAAATCAAAAGGGAAATAGAGTAATTTTCCTATAGACTACAATAGGAAAATTCTATAGGACCTGGTGGTCACTAGGGAGAATGCATGTTTCAAGGCACTTCTAAAGAAATCTCAGCGGAACCGGATGTTGTCGCCTGCTCATACTCATACTCGTACATGGAATTTGACTGGTTACTTTTGAGGCTCAATGTACATAACCCGGCTCATGGAAGGTGACAAACAAGGGAGTCCACACGTTGACTTTAAGAAATAACAAAGGTTTTATTCAAAAACTAACAAAGTATGAATATACAACGGAAAATAAACTGGTGAAGTGTAAAGATAGGCATATGAGGGGTGTAGTGGAAATGCATGGATGCATATCAGAAGTGTAGGTGTTGAGAGGTGTACTTAAACAAAACGCATACTCTGGGGGCTGGGCATCAGGAACTTTAACACCTGGCTAGCTCCACCCACAGGTGCAACCTGTCACCTTAACGGGTCTCCTCCAGCTCCACCCGTCTCCAATCTGCAAACAAGAAAATAGAGAAGGAGACATGGGGGCCAGAGGGCCGTAAAACACAGTACGTAAAAATTAACAAGAAATATAAATTAGAAAATATAACTGGAAAACAAAAGAGTAGAACAGAATAAGAAATGGAATGCGGAAAGCTAAAAGCTGAAATTAATTTTTAAAAATACAGAAATGGGAGTAGCTGAAAGGATTGTCAACTGATTTGCTGAAAATGCAGAAATGAGAAAAGCCAAAAATGACTATAGAAACATTGCTAAAGAATACAGAAACGAATATCAAAACATTGCTGAAAATACAGACAACCGAAAAGCTGAAATGAATTTCAATAGATTTGCTGAAAATACACAGATGAGAAAAGCTTAAATGAATTACAAAAAAATTGCTGAAAACACGGCAGAAGCTGAAATGAATTTCACAAAATTGCTGAAAATACAGAAATGGCAGAAGCTGAAATGAATTTGAAAAAAATACTGAAATAAAAAATACTGGAAAAAAATCAAAATATTGCTGAAAATACAGAAATGGCAGAAGCTGAAATGAATTTGAAAAAAATACTGAAATAAAAAATACTGGAAAAAAATCAAAATATTGCTGAAAATACAGAAATGACAAAAGCTGAGATGAGTTTTAAAAAATGTATTTTTTTGTAGCAAAATTATTAGTAGTTGTAATTTTGGTACTAGTAGTACTAACAGTAGAATAAGTAGTAGTATGTTTAGTATCAATAGCAGTAGAAAAACTAGAAGTAATAGTGTTAGTAGTAGCACTAGTATGATCAGCTGTAGTATTAATACTATTAGTCATAGTAATGTTTGTATTAAAAGTACTAGTTGTAGTATTAATAGCAGTAATAGTAAGAGTACTAATATCAGTTGCAGGGTCACTATTAGTAGTAGCATTTTTAGTACTGCTACTAGAAGTCATTTAGTAGTAATAGCAGTATCAGTTGCAGTGGTACTACTAGTTGTACTAGTGATATTAGTAGCAGCTGTAGTAGTATTTGAAAGATGAATAAATATTTCAACAAAACAGCTTCATTCTGAGCTTCAAGGTTAAGATACAGATAATTATTGAGGCTTTTATTTTGAAATCAAGTAATTGGGTGAGGTGGAATGGGGTTGGGAGACAGAGTGTTTGTCCGTCAAACTAAGAAGTTATTGATCGTTAGGCCTTACAGTAAGTATTCACACAATGGGTTTTTTATTTTAAAACCAGAAAATTACGCAGAAATATTAAGAGTGTGGCCTAGACTGCCCGAAGATGTTGCAATGCACACATATACAGTAAGTGCAGTATAAGTTGCAGGGCCAACACAGAGACATACAACCATTGACACTCACATTCATACACCTACGGGCAATTTAAAGTCCCAAATTAACCTGATCCCCAGAGCATGTCTTTGGACTGTGGGAGGAAGCCGGAGAACCCGGAGAGAACCCACACAGACACGGGGAGAACATGCAGACTCCACACAGAAAGGCCACTGGGCAGAGTTGAACCCTATGTGAAACAGCTGAATGGAATCGAGTCTCATCTCTGTTATTAGTCCCACCTGCGCTGAGAGAAAGATATGATAACACGGGACTGCATGGAAAAGCTGTAGCCTGTAGTTTTAATCGCCACCCTTCTGTAATTTGGACGCCATTATCCTCCATAATGTTGGAAAGAAGAAAGGGAACGAAGACACTCTTTTTAGTCCCTGCTGGTTACTGTGAAGATTATACATATGCTTTGTTCTTTAGATTAATTTAATATTCTGTATAACATCCCCATAATATTCTTGTTGAGTCCCAAACATGCAGAGCAGCAAGTGACTTTGCATATCCCGTTTACTTGCATTACTAGTACCCATTTCTTCCATATGGTATCGTACGGACTGTGAAATTTGTACATGCAACTTTTTCTTAGATTATATTTGGACATTTTCAAATGTGTCCATGTCAAACTCATTAAGAACAGTTATTATATGAAGGTAGTAATTAGCCAATCACATCAACTATCCGCCCTCAAAGGGAATGGGTTGGATGTTTGTCTTTATTGTTTCCATTTCTTCAGATTGTTGGACAGTACTATCACGTCAAGGAAACCGAAAGGGGTTTTATTGGTGTTTTCTTTCAATAATATAATTCCATTCTCATCAACTGTATTGGGTTAGAGGCAGAAATCTCACAGGTATGTTGGAGACATCGGCCGTAGAAATGTCTGCTTTCACTCCAACATTTTTGAGCTAGATGTCCCTCTGCTTGTGCTCAAAGCAGTTTAATAAAGGAACTCATTTTGTTTCTACATTAAACCGCTCACAACATCACGGTCCGTGGATGGACCTGAGAGATCAGGTCACGATATCTAGAAAGATATTTTGCCGTTAAATTCTTCAAGCACAACAACTCGATTGCTAGTAGTTAACAGATGAATGAAAAAAACGCTGGTAAACACAGTCCAAAAGAGTTTCATTGAACCACGAGAGGGAGAGGAAAAAGGGATGCCGTTGTTGTATTTTTATTGTGTAGTCTTCAACTTAACATCCCGTTTGATCTCTTTACCTCCACTCAGTTGCTCTCCAAACCTCCTCCACATCTTTATGTGCATTCACTTTGTGTATTTATAACTGCACTGCAAAGTCTTTCTCAATTAACAATCAGACCTTAGGGTCTACTGCACAAACACACCCATACACATGAATGCTCACACACACACACACACACACACACACACACACACACAGTAGGCTGTCTCCTGTGCTCATGTATGGACACACTCCTGGAAAGCAGATGTGAGAATTAGCCAGAGAGGAAATTCAGACTGACTCAAAGCCCATACACCTATACTGCTCCTGCTAATTAGCCAACAGACTGCACCACATTAGTGTGAGAGCTGTGAATGGATGTGTGTGTGTTTAGTCCAGCCTGTGTTTTTGGATGCCCGATCTCGCAGAGTATCCCATTTGTTTGTTGTTGTGCGGCATGTTAAGCTGTTTGTGTAGCCTCCATGTACCATCAGGACAGTTCAGCTAGCCAATTTGGTGGCTGGGACTCAGACAGCAGCGGAGTGGACCCCCCTGACAGTGTTCCTCTGTCCCATCCGCCCGGCCCCCAGGTGCCTCAGGACGAGTGGAGCGGCTTCTCCCCGCTGGGGAAGGAGGACGACATCCCCTGTCGGAGGATGAGGAGCGGCAGCTACGTCAAAGCCATGGCCGAGGAGGACAGCGGGGACTCGGACGGGAGTCCCAAACCCTCCCCCAAGATGCAGGCCCGCCGGGCCAGCTACCTGAAGGCCACGCAGCCGTCGCTGACTGAGATGACCACTCTACAGTAAGATGTGCTTAGTGCCCCCCATGCGTCTCGCTGACATCTCAGGTGTTTTCTTTTCTAGTTTAGCTTTTCTCATGTTTAAGGCCTGATGGAGATGTTTTTTTCACATGTTCAGGGTCTTTTATTATTTTGTTTCTTTTATTATTATTTCTTTTAAGCTTAGTAGAATGCAACTTAAAAGGACAAAGCTGTTAGCATTTCTTTCTCCCAGGATCCTAAGATGTTTGGTTGTATAGCAGGGCCTTTTTGGTTGTGACTTGCTTGACAGGGACGAGCAAGTCGATAAACGTTTGTATCCACTGTGACATACAAACGTTACGGTAAGTATCAAACGCACAGCTTTATTTCCTCATGTGATCATCATGGTGATCAGTATTTACAGTAAGTATTAGATGAATATGTGATTATTAGATTGATAGCATTTTAAAGGACAACTTGCCAAAAGTCGTATGTGCTACAGTTTACAGTTCACAATCTCAATCAATAATCGACAGACCCGGCGCTCTGCCCGCTATCTTCTCTTTTCTTCTTCTTGCCAAAACACAGCACACCAATACACACCCAGTGTAATGCCTCATTTTTCCTGCTGAACAACAGTATTTTCAAGATTGTCATTTCATGGCAGAATTTCCATTTACGCAAAGTTTATACATCTGGTTGGCTGAAACTAATATTTCTTTGATGTTCATTACAGTCAGAAATCCTAGTCTTTATATATTTTTCCTGGTGAGGAAGCAACAGGAAGTGTCGTGGCTGTTAAAGGTAGGCTCGGGGAGTCTTCCCTGGGAGACGAGTGATCTTCACTCTGATCTACAACAGGGAGCCAGAAATATCACCGTTGCCTAATTAAGCTTTCACAGCTCTCTAAATAGTGAGAGTAATTACAGCGAGTAGTCAAGGGACGGCCGCTCTGCCACCGGTCCCTCTCTCTCACACACACACACACACACACAAGGAGATAGATGGATGCTGGTGTATTTAAAACGTGGACTGATACCAAACTAAGGTGCCGCCCAAAAATGGACACCAGCTGTGTAGGAGACAGGGAGACCTTTAGCCATCCTCTGCCAGCTTTTCCCCTCGTTCTTCAAGCTAATGAACACGGCTTTTTCATGAGCGAAACTACGAAATAATATTTCACGCCAATCTCCTTTGTCGTGTCAACCAGTAGAGTGCGATTGTTTTTTGCAGCTATCACTGCACCATCATGAATATATTATATGGATATGCACACTCTAGTCACTAATTGTCTGTAACGCGCTGTAAGACACGCACCATTAATCTTTTTAGCTTCCTTATCTGTTTTCATCTGTGAATCAGGCGTGAACATCGTGTACGATCAAAAGAAAGTTACTACTACTTATTTATTCTGTAAGAACAGGTACAGAGGTGAATCCCCCTCCCACCCAACGTGCTATATGGGACTAAAAGCAAAAAGAACCATGAGTATTACAGCAACAAACATTGTATAACTATGCTAAAGGAAAAGAAAGCGTTCAATTCTTTATCCGTTCAACAGTTTTTTTTTTCCTTTTAATAACATATCATCATTTTGTTGATGCTTCCAGAGACCATGGTAATAGAAACGACATACATAATGGCTAGAAATGCCGAGTCCTCTTATAGGTGTGTGTGGGAGAGGTGCTAATTATGCACTGGAGCAAATTGGTATCCATCATAAATTGCGTACACACAATCAATGACGAAATCCCACATTCTACTTGCGCGGTCCACCGCGGGAGACGACCAAAACTCATTGTGGCCTATAGTCACGCACTAACGCCATTTATTTACAATATGACAACACTTCAATTAGTTGTACACTAGGTGGTAACAACAGCTTAGTTCTGCTTATTTCACATTCTGACACAGTAACCTTTGCAGAACAGTAAAACTACACAAATCATTTGGAAGAACAAACTCTGAACAGTGTGAAAACAACCGGAATGAGCTCATTTAAAACGTGGCGAGCACCAGCTCACCTGCCGCTTACCCGTGTGCTAGTTGAGTTAATATTTTCAATGCATTATGCAAAGAAAAAGCTAGTGTTTTCTCGGGGATTCAAAAAATTAAAAAATGCAATTTATACAGATAGACATTAATATAAAAGGAGGGAACATATGTTATGACTTGCTGTGTAGAATTGTCATATACTGCTGCTGTGTGTGAAAAGCTGCGACTAGAGGAGCGAGAAGGAGTGAGATATTATTAATAAATGGTCGTTATTATAAAACTGACTATACATAAATAAGAGGAGGAAACTCCAGCGCCCCAGTGGAAGAGGTTGCCCTTAAATCAGAGAATGGGGGGTTTGATCCACGGCTCACGACACTTAACCGTACATTAGTCCGTCATTAAAAGTTAGAACAGTTACATGGTAGCGTCTGCCATCGTTGTATGAGTAGGTGTGAATGGGTTAATTATGACGTATTGGTAAAACGCCAAGTATGAGACGTTAATGTGCCCTTACCATATAATGCTGATGTGCATTCTGACTGAATCACAGAACCATCTCGTCTGAATTATCTGGCTCTATAAATATATTTCATAGATTTCTCCATCCTGCTGTAGGACAAACCCTGGGCCGGGATGCCGCGATCCGATTCGGCACATCCTCCTCGGGAGTCCAGACACTGGTGGTGGCGGAGAATAAAGTTGCTCCACCCCAATGGCACGCTAGGTTTTGCTGCTGGTTTCAGGGGTGGAGGAGGGTTGCATCTGCTGCTGCGATCAGCTCGTCTTCCTGACTGAATTCACGCCTGCGCTTGAGAGATAGCTGCTGACCTTGTGTATGACTTTACTTCCTTGTCGTCCTTCTTGTCAGGATCTCCTCGGAGCACTCGCCCAAACTGCAGATCAGAAGCCACAGTTACCTGCGTGCGGTGAGTGAGGTTTCGATCAATAGAAGCCTGGATACCCTGGATCCCAAAACCCTCCTCGACCCCAAATCGCTGCTGTCCTCACCCCAATACCGCTCACGCAATGAAAGCTACATGAGGGCCATGAGTACCATCAGTCAGGTTGGTTGCCAACACCGCCACCTTTATACTGTCAGGTTGCTTCACCCGATCATGTTGTCATAGATACACAGAGGATGAAGGATGTGAAGGAAAATGTGGGAAGTGGAGACATTGAAAACAAAATGTTATTGATTGCAATTATTCTCTTCTTTGGTTCTGGGAGACGATTCCGGACACACGCACAACCTACTGGCTTTCACGGCTTCACTTTAAAAACATTTTTTTACCATCTCATAAACTGTATTTCAACCATACTCCATTGCGGAGAAACGTTTTTCGGCTCAAATACAATCTAATAAAGTCATTTTTGAACTTCCCTCAATATCTTGATAGTAGTTGTCAATGCAACCCCAACTCAAGATCCACCTGCTCATACGTTTCGGAGCTTTTCAGCGTATCACACGGCCACCAGATTGAGTTTGTTCAGTTCTAAAGGATTTGTAGTCAGTGATGGAAAAAACGCTTTGTACATGAAACTCTCGGGTTTGGAAGGATTGAAAGTATTTTCACAGGATTCTAAAGTGGTAAAAGCTGAGGAGAGTTTCTGGTGTACAGAGATCAGCGACGCATGTGAAGTATATTGCATCTCTCCATCTTTGTATATGGGGATTTACTCTCCACCAACCTAAATATAGCCAGATAAGTGTATCAGCAAGGTCGTCTTCTCAAGTCGCGGTTCCCAGAGTCTTGTTCTCTGAGGTAACACATTTCTAGCAACAAATTTGGCAAATTTCAAAACAGAAATTAAAGTTGTAGTTTATAATGTCTATAGTGTTTAAACATAGAATCGAATTGAACAGTGACACCATTATCACCATAACCGCATCAGTCGGTGTCAGCCGGTATCTGTGGGAGCGTCCCTCATCCCTTCGGCCAGCCAACGGCCTCCGTTAGAATGATGGTGCTTCCATGTGGCCGTGGACACAAGCCGGGAGGACAGCTGGTTGTCCGTCTGTCTGTCACATTCTTGTGAACTGACAAATTCCTTAAAGTTTGGCACAAACATCCAATTGGACTCCAGGATGAACCGATTTGGTTTTGGTTGTCAAAGGTCACTGTGACCTCACAAAAAACATGAGGAGTACTTCGCTCAAATGTCTGAGGTGGTAAAATGTTGAAGTGAAGACATTGCAGTATTGCAGTATTTCTAGTTTTCCATGCGGTGCATTTGTTTGATTAGCGTTTGTTAAAAGCCACAGTAACCAACTGTTTCAGTACATTAGCGGGCCCTTGTTTTTAAACTGAAACATTGGCTGTCGGAATGCATGAAAGATTTAACAGAGCTCAGAGCAAACAGGGACGAAGAGGAAACAAACTCACCAGCAGCAGATTGTTGGTTCAGGTTGTTTTTTATGGGATTCGGTGAGAAAAATACAGAAAAATAACAATGTTTCTATTTTTTTCTTCTTTGAATGACGATGTTAGTTATAACCACATGTTTATTGAAGACACTGCTCTCACCACTCATGGTCGGGTTATTTTTCTTAACACCTCAGAGGTTTTTCCCTTGAAGTATAAATCATGTTTTGAGCTTCTTAAACTTGGTGTTGGCACCGCTTTAGTAACTGTGGAATACGCGTAAATAGCATACATGTGTCCCTCCTTTACGCCACCTTCAACCTCTACTGGTGTTAGTCAACCTGCACCTGCCCTTTAATGCCATTACCAAGCTGAACTCCCTTTATTAACATGTTTATATCCTCATGAACCCAATCATAAGAAACAAATGAAACATTCAGTTTGATTTCAACTCGAGTCCACGTTGAAAATTAAGCTCAGTGATTGGAAAGTGAAGAAAAAAGGAAAATGAAAAAAAAACAAGAATGGCATGTGATAACATGTGATAACATGTGATTACATGTGATTACATGTGATAACATGTGATTACATGTGATAACATGTGATTACATGTGATTACATGTGATTACATGTGATTACATGTGATAACATGTGATTACATGTGATAACATGTGATTACATGTGATTGCATGCTTCCTAGGTTACTAGAATATGTTCCCCGGCACAAGACTGTGACACTTTAAGCTGATCAGGTGACACATTGCAAATGTGATGCTCCTTTGGGCACAACATTGGCTTTGTATTAAAAGCTGCTCGGGGAACACCTTGACGTTTGAAGCAACTTGTGGAATGCTTTCTGTCTGTTGATTAAACACGTTGCACTCATCAAAGAGCAGCAGGAATGATGCATGACTCAACCACACGGATGGGACAGCTCGCATATTTCAAAATATCTAAGTATCAGTTTACATATAATCTAATCAAGTAACGCCCCCACAGTGTGGTGTCACAAAGACAAAGTTTAGACATTTTATAACAAGTTGATCAACTGACTCAACTTTGCTTCTGGTCACTACAGTGCAGCGATGTTCTGCTGCTAGTTTCCAACCGGTGGATCTCTAAACTCCAGTTAGCTTTCAGTTATGGAAGATACAAGTGTTTCTTCAAATGCACAGACACTTGTTGCTTGGCACCTCGGCGCCGAATCCCACCCAGTGCACCCGTTGCCGTAGACTGGCTAGTTCTCCCCCAGAGGTAGCTTCCGCAGACCAACCGGATTTCCGTGTTGCATGACATCCCCTCTTCTGGGCTGCTCCCCCCTCCGGTTACCCCCATATTCATGTGGCCGTAGGGTTTCAGCAGCACTGCAAGCGGACCCTGACTAACGCCAGTGTGACCTGCATGCCCAACGTGTCTTTTGCCGTCCAAACTCTGATTAACAATAGTGTGCTTGAATGAAAGTATGACTTTGTTTCTGTTTTCGGCCTGCTCCCCCTCTGATGTCCTCCCCCTGTCCTCCTCCAGCTGAGTGAGTTGGAGGTGAACGGGCAGATCGAGCAGGTGTGTGAGCAGGTCTACAGCGCGATGCAGGCCCAGGCCATGGAGGCTGCAATAGACAGCATGGAAACCATGGACACGCTGCCAATGCCCGGGTGCTTCCGGATGCGCAGCCACAGCTACGTGCGCGCCATTGACCAGGGCTGCTCGGGGGACGAGGAAGGAGAGGGAGGGAGGCCGCTGCTCCTGCTGCCGTCCTCCCCACCACGCACATCGGCCACCACCGTCAGGACCATCCAGAGCAGCACAGGTACGGCTCCTGCAACACAAGTGTGCCCCTGTTGGCCAGGATAATGGACGATCTTGCATATGAATCTGCATGTCAAACACTCAATGAGTTTTAAGCACTTGAACAAGTAAAATGAACTGAGCCTTAATTTGACTCTTAACAAGAAGTGATGCTGGGTCCTGGAGTGAAGGATTTCTCAGATTTCTCAGTGTGTGTGTTAAATGGTAAATGGCCTGTACGTGTATTTGTCTTTGCTAGTCTTCAGACCACCCAAAGCTCTTCATCACTACACGTCATCATCGCGCTCCTCTCATTGAAGGACGACCTTGTTGCCCACATATGTGAAGAGTCAAATAAACGGAGCGTTAGTTTGGCGTGGTTCCCCATCCCAGTAACTGGACTTGTTCAAACCCCTCTTAATAGTGGAAGCTGCTGGTGGAGAATTTAGCCACATTTAATCACCACACGCCCCAACGTGCACGTCCTCCTGTGCTGTTTCCACGTCAACAGAGGCAGGCTTTGACAGCAAGTATATCTAACCGATATAATCCAGAATCGTTGTCACATCTTTTGGAAGATTTTTCTTACAGCCATGTCTATTTCTCTTAACAAGATTAAAGGAAACCAGGAACCCCTGAAAAGTTCATGAATCAGTCGATTAGATGACGACTATTTCATGACTTTTACTGCTCAATTTTATTCTTCCCATGTGTGATAATCGCTGAGCTGTTACGTCGCCGGACAATCATACAAGTAACAAGCACACTGCTGCTTCAGTGTGAGAATAGTACCCAGATCTGTGAAGACATGACGCAGTTCTCTCAAGAGAGCTGACAATTATCTGGCCTCCATTTCCTTTTGACTTATTCCGGAGTGAGAGGGACGGCTAGTCACTAAAGATGGTAGTGGTTTTGTTTAATCATGTAATGTTAATACCACAAGCTACCACAGCTCAAATTGAACTGCAAACATGCTGTCTGAGAGGAGGATGTTTGTCTGTACTTTAATCTGAATGTGGTTTCACACTCTGTCACATGCAAAAAATATCGAGATAACATGTCCCTTCTTTTTGTTCACTTTTGTTCACGTTCAAAATTAAAAAAGAAAAGACTCTTGTATCTTAATACGTCATGTCATTGTGACTTACATTGCATTTTTAACCCATGGTTTTACATGTTAAGCCGTCCCACACAGTGGCCGTAGTGTGGCCGGGGTAGCAGTTAAGGGTCGGGTGTCTTGCTTGGAGACACTTCAACATGGGACATGGAGCAGCCGGGGTTCGAAACGCCAACCTTGCGGTTCCCATGCGCCACCGTGATCTTCACAGCAGTTGCTGGAAATACAGGATTACCAGACCCTGGATTTGAGGAGTTAACTGTAAAATGACCACAAATGAAACAAAATTAGCCAGCTAGCTAAATTAGCGCACGTTTTGATCATCCACCTCCCACCAGAGGCGTTATATCTTTTTATTAAACCTTTGATTTACACTCCCAACCCATTACCCACCTGGAGCTTTGTTCTTTAGAAGAAACATAACTACACTCAGCATTCTTTTACGGCTAACGATTATTTGATAAAAAAGAGAATCTATAAGACTTGCCAACCAAACCCAGAGGAACAAAGAGGATCCCTCTTGTAGGCCACAGCTTTAACAGGGATCAGTTCCAACCCTATAATGGGATTTTCTCTAATCTGGACCGCAGTTTTGTAGATTGGACGACTAGATAACTTCTTGCTGCAGAGATCCCTTTGGGGAGAAAGCTGGTCACTTTGAACGTGTGTCTTCAGTGGATGAGCCACAGTACTGCTGCGTCACACACATAACGGGGGGAGGAATTATAAAAACGCTCCGGGTTGCGGTTACGCGCATAACTGCACTCTGCCTTTGCGCTGTAACAACGAACCAGAAATCTCACGCAGATAATCTTGTAAAAACCAAAAAAAAGGAAAAAGGCTGTCGTCATGCGCGTATTCAGAGGAGAACACGCCAGAGTGGATGCCGCGGGGGACTTTGTGTCGGCTGTTTGATATTAGGGTTGTCTTTATTTTCAAAGTGCTCAACTGGAGGTGACCTACATTTGATGCTCCTCCGGGAGTTCTTCTGGAGTTAACCAAGAGGATAAATGGACACACACACACACATCCAGATAAGCACCAAGTGTCTGTATACTATTCAGTCATGCAAACACCCACACAATCTTCTGCAGGCCCACAGTGCAGTACGTGGTGAGCCTCGCATCCACATGACTGGACATTGTGCTGAGAAATGTTGCTCCAATGTCCACTGAGGTGAGATATCCACTCGGCCTCATTGTGCAACTGCATTATTATCACTACAGGACTTTTAACCGCCGCGTTTGGCTTTTCCTATTCATCTGTTCACTCATACTCATCTGCGGGACGTTAGATCCAACATGAGAATCAACCCAGAAGGCAACACAGGAAGGTGTGGCGTGGAGGGTTAGCATGGCTGCTATCGTGGCTGCTAGCTTTTCACCTTGTGAGTGTGTTCTCTGGGTTCTCAACATAACACCAACACAAGCAGAGGAAATTGGAGTATAGTGTGTGTGTGTGTGTGTGTGTGTGTGTGTGTGTGTGTGTGTGTGTGTGTGTGTGTGTGTGTGAGGAGATGCGGCACTGTCCAAAGTACTGAAGCTGAGCTGCTTTTCTCGGTTGTAAATGGAACTTTTGGTCCTAATTCATCAAAGCAAAATGTCTTTCTGAGGCCAGATTCGAAGCAATTGTCATTTTAAATCTGTTAACTTACTCGTGTGAGGGCCGATCGGCCTGTTAGAGCTGAGTCAGTGGAGAAAAGGAAACGAAGAGAGAGGTTCCCTGCTCCACTTCTCAGCTCACGTCCTTGTGGCTGAAGCATAGCGAGAAGGAATAAAGAGGAGACCGAAGCAGAGGGGGGTCCAAATGATGTTGATGGTGGGCCATATCAATATGGGGAAGTCACAAAACAATAGTGAACGATACCTTCAATATAATAAAATTTTATTTCTAGACCAGAAAAACCCTTGTGCAGAGAAAACATTTTTTAATAGAAAATGACAAAACACTAAAAATACTAGGATGCTATGTGTAAATGTGGAAACAAGTCAGGGAACAGGGAGAAAGAGACAAAATTGGTTTCATTTTGGGGCGCCCACTTAAAAGATTATGATGTCATTGTAAATGTAAGCTGTGAAGTCTAATATTAACAAACTTGGTATCAGTGCCAAGAGATTCAGAATTTAGTTGATCTAGTGTTTTAGCGACTCAATGTAATAGAAGTATGCCTACGCTATCTCTCTCTCTCTCTCTTTATTCCAAGGATTTCACCATAGTTTGGACACCCTAGAGATATTTATATTAAAAATGCTCAAACACCAAAACAAAATTAATAAACAGGATGGAAACAGAGATGAGATGAAAGCTAGAAACATGAGAATCCCCCACATGAAAAAAAACACTGCGTACCGGAGTGAGACGCTGAGGCTGAGTCAGAAGCTTCTCTGGTGAAACACACATCAAATGAGGTCAGTGTGAGTAAAGCAGCAGAGCAGCCTGATGAGCTGCGTATAAGCCAGTTAATCACCCCCTCTCTTTGTGCTTCCTCACACATCCAACCTTCCCACACACATCCTCCATATTCATAGGAAGACAAAACCTCCATGCAATGCACTCTAAAGGCCTTTTTGGAACGCTTTCTCTGGATGTGATGTTTGACCTTTGGCCCCTAACGCCGCTCCCTTCGGCCCTCTCCATTGTGCAAAAAAGTAGCTGCTGTATAGTTTTAGTAAGTATATTTATACACTCAGTAATAAACACGTGTGGTCCAACAGCTCTGTAATAAAACTCGCGACAAAGTTTCAGAGAGATTCATGTTGGAGGCTCTTGCTCTAGCTGCATTTGGACTGTCTATACACCTCATTGATATCAATCAGGGACACATAAATGTACATTTATTTTAGCATGGTGCACCTAGTGTATACTTTAGTAGATTAATAATAGATAAATTAATCAACTATTATTCTGTTGAAGAGCGTAAGGTGCGTGCTTCATTTCTAGTGTAGCGTAAATACCTTACTTGGTATTGGAGGTGTTTTTGAATGTCTGCCCCCCTTCAAAAGAGGACCCCAATCACCAGTTCAATACCGTAGTGCAGGGGTGTCAAACTCATTTTGGGTTTGGGCCACATAGTAGGTTTAGGTTTGGGCCAGATAGTAGGTTTAGGTTTGGACCAGATAGTAGGTTTAGGTTTGGGCCAGATAGCGGTAGCGGTAACCAAACGGAACAACAGCGCAGCATACCAGGAGCGCAAAACGAATCGATATTAATTAAAAAACAACAATGAGCCTCTCGTCGGTCAGACTTTTTGCTGATTTGTTTTTTCAATGGCAGGTGATCTACTAGCACTGCGTTGTGAACGACCTGGTCCCCCTGGTCTAACGCATGCTCTCACTCACAGAGTGCGACCCCCATTGGACTTTTTAGGAACAGCAGCTACTTCTATAGAAATGCAATTTATGTCTTTCTGTAATTCTTACAATAGCAAAAATCATCCGCGGGCCGGATTCGCAGGCCTTGAGTTTGACACCTGTGCCTTAGTGCATCAGGCCCCGCATAGGGGCTTCATTCAAGTTCTTCCATAGCCACTAACTGAATATCTGTCTCCTGGTGCTTCTGCGGGCTCTCTTTCCTCCACAGTGGCCTCTGCTAGAGAGGACGATACGTTTTCTAATTTCTGCCACTTTGGGTTCATCCCAAAGATCCCACATGATCAAAACCTACACAAACCCTGCACCCCAAACGTAGCTCCAAGTCGTTGGCTTAGCTCTACTTATTCTCTCTCGTTGACACATCAATATCTTTGGATTTATCAAACCTCTTTATAGTACCTTCCTTTACATTCTTCCCAAACTACATTTAATCCATGAGCAGCTCTCATCCACATCAATGTATTTCTCTACAGATGCCAATGGAGGGTAATGCCCTCTTCTTCTTTGTAAAATCAACCACTGTTGCAAAGTTAA